CCGACGGTCCGCCGCTGTAGTCGGATGCGTGGCCCTCGAGCCAGCAGCCCAGCTGCTCGGCCGTGTGGACGGCCGCGTTGACGCTGAGCGTGCGCGGCAAGCTCGGCGTTGCTTGGCAGGATCCTGCGGCTGCGGAAGAGCGCGGTGAACTGGCAGCCGCGGCAGGCGGCCCGCGACTGAGTCTCGCGCAGCAGCGACGCCCGCAGGATCGAGGCAAAGTCGGACGGCGGCGCCGGCTCGTTGCTCAGGCCCTTGCGCGGGTAGACGAGGTCGACGACGTGCGATGCGCTGTTGCGGTGCGTCTCGCGGCCGCAGTGGACGCACGACGTCTTGGTGGTCGAGTTGACCGAAAACATCTTGCTGACGATCGGTCGAGCCGCCGAGGCCGCGGTGCTGCTGCCAGGCCCCGCCCCGCCCCCGCCCTCGACTGAAGGGCCGAGACCTGGGCTGCGCGGGCCACCGGGGCCGCCAACGACCCCTCCTCCTCTCCGAACTCCGCGACCTCCATTGGAAGGGGCGGCGGCGGCCGACGACCCGACTGATCCACCCGTGCTGCCGGCGCTAGTGCTCGTTCCGGTGCTGCCGCCGCCGGCATTCGGACTGGCCGACGCTGCGCCGCGCGACGAGGCCGACTGCGACTCGACCGCCGCGCTGTCGAGGACGAAGCGGTTGAGGCTCTGGACGAGGTTGCAGTAGCCGGCGTCGCCGGCGGGCGAGTCCTCCTTGTCCATCAGGCCGAGGGTGGCGGCGCGGTGGCTGTTGCCAAACGCCTTGAGGAAGTTGGTGGCCTGGCAGTTGGCGCCCTTGGCGTCCTCGAGCATGCGGAAGAGGAAGCCCGCCTCGCACAGCAGGCAGCTCTCGCGCGTGCAGCTCTGCAGCAGATGCGCCTTGGCCACGGTGCGGAACGGCATCAGGTAGTGGAGCGCCTGGAGGTACGAGTTGGCGTACGAGTTCTGGATGTGCGTCTCGAGGCCGCTGTAGGGCGTCTTGTTGTAGTAGCCAAAGTCAAAGTCCTCGATGCCGAACCGGCTGTACTGGATCGTCTTGAGGCGGTAGTAGGCCGGCACGCTGCCCTGGGCGGCGCCGACCTGGTGCAGGCTGCTCGTCTCGTCGCTGCTGTCCTCGTCGCTGCTGTCCTCGGCGTCGTCGCCGTCGCCCGCCTCGCCGTCGCCTCGCCGTGCGTCGTCCCTCGACCCGCCTCCGCCAGCGCCGGCGAGGCCGCCCGACGCCGTATCCTTGGCCTTTTTGACGGACCCGCCCTTGTCTGCGCCGCCGCCGCCGTTGGCCGCTGCCGCCGCCTTTTTGGAGAGCTCCTTTTCCCTCTCGCTGCGGAAGAGCGGGATGCCCACCTTTTTGCGGTCCTCGGGACGGTGCATGGCGCTGGCGCGGATGCCGCCGGGACCTCGGCCGGTGATGGTGTTGCGCCTGCCGCGCAGGTGCCTCGGAAGCGGCGCGTACCCGACGAAGTCGACGGTCCGCATGCTGCTGATGACGGCCGGGTCGATCTTGGAGGGCGGGTTGAAGAGGGGCGAGGCGTCGGTCGTGTACTGCTCGTAGTCAAAGTACGAGAGGAGCTGCTCCGAGTAGTAGGGCATGCCGACGCTCGAGAGGGGCGTCTCGGTGGTCCAGTTGACAAACGGTGGTGGCTCTGCAATGTCGGGCATCTCGACGGCGGCGCTGGAAAAGGGGTTGAAGCGGATCGACGACGTGTCGGTGGAGCTCGACCAGAGGCGCACGGAGCCGTCGGCCTCGCCAAAGGCCAGGTAGTCGGCCGAGGGCGAGATGGCGAGCGAGGTGATGTACGACGCCGAGTTGACCTGGTAGAAGCGGCCCTCGCCCGGGTTGCCCACGTCGACGATCTGAAACTGGCCCTGGGGCGCCGAGACGATGACGGTCGACGAGAGCTTGGGGTGGATGGCCAGCAGCGCCGGGCCGCCGGGGACGGAAAAGGGCAGCGGCACCAGCGGGCGCAGCGCGCGGAGGTCGTGGACCTTGATCAGGGGCTCGGGCACGGGGTGACCCTGGCGGACGGTCCAGCCGACGCTGTACACGAGGTTGCCGTCGGCCTGCATGTCGATCAGGCCGCCCGGGTGGGCGTGGAGGCGGTGCTCGATGGCGAGCGAGCGCGGGTCGCGCAGCTGGATGTGACCGTTGATGGCGGCGGCGCAGATGAAGCGGCCCGACTTGCGGAGCTGGAGGATGGGGGCCTCGGAGGGCGCCCTGCGGATGACGCTGCCGGTGCTGTTGCTGACGGCGAGGACGACGTCGGAGTCGGCGTCGAGCTCGCGCGTAGCGGCGGCGCTCTGGGACGAGCCGCCGACGACGAGGTCGGAGCTGGCGGCGAGGGGAGATGCGCACATCGAGGCCAGAGAGAGGCCGGGCGCGCACTGCGACGTCAGCATCGACCACTTGCCCAGGCCCCTGCGGTTGGCGCACTTGATGCCGCCCTCGCCGACCGAGTAGACGTGGCGGGCGTCGACGAGGATGCCCTTTGCGGGGCCGGGGCGCGCCGGGGTGCCGTGAGCTGGGTAGCTGGTGTAGCGCGACAGCTCGGGCCCGTAGTGGGAGACGACCTGTCCCATCGAGGTGCCGGCCCAGAGGAGCTCGGATGACGTGTCAAAGGTGAGGGCGGACACGCCGCCGAGCATGCCGATGGGGCCATTGTTGGCGAGGATGTGGGCATGCTCGCTCCAGGTCGCCATCGTGGCGATGTTGCCGGCGGCGCCTGTCCGCAGGGATGGGAGGATCAAGGCCTAGAGCGAGGGCGGGACGACGGGCGAAGCGCTATTGGCGAGGGCGGCATGGGGTCGCGCGACGCGCCAGTCGGCCGTGCTTGTGGTGGCGGCGGTGGTGGTGGCCTGGCCGGCAGCAAGGGCTGCAGCTTGCAGGTTGCGTTGTCGATGCTTGAGTATTATGGTCTGGTCTGCTGTGGAGATGCGAGCAGTGCGGTGCGGTTAGAGCCGTGGTCGTGGAGAGGAGGGGAGAGGCTAACGAGGCCAGTCCAGCCCACGCGACGTTGCGGGATGGGCCCTAGCCTGGCTGGCTGCACTCTGCGCCAGCGCGCCCAGCAGCCTTCTTGCCTTGCCTGGCCTGGCCTGCCTTGTGGCTGGTCGACCTGGCCTGGCCAGGCCTGGCCTCGCCTCGCCCGCCCGTTTTTCCACCGAGGGCGGGCTTTCTGAGAGCGGGCGGACGGGCGGGCGGGCGGTGGGCATGGGCCAACGACCCGCCTAGGTGGAGGCTGGCCTGCACCGCACCGCACCGCACCGCACCGCCATGCCATGCCATGCCACACCGCATCACACCTCTTTGACCGCCTCGACCTCTCGCTCATCGGCCCTTACACACGCTTGTCTCTCATATCGGCGGTGCCGGGACACAATCTTTGCTGCGGACAGCCGTGCCATCTCCTGGTCTGGACCAACGATGCATCATTGCTTTCAAACGACCACCAACGAGCACTGGATGGCTACCACCCTCCGCCGTCGTCGCCGCGGCTGAAGCCGGCCGTGGCGCGGCGCTGGTTGTCCTCGAGCTTGGGGCAGTCCTTGATGCCGTGGCCCAGTCCGCCGCAGACGGGGCAGCCCGTGAGGGAGCCGCCGCCCGCCGCCGCCCGCGGGTCCTCGATGGCCTGCAGAAACGGCGGCACGCGCTGCTTGGCCTCCATCAGCAGGTACTTGAGGTCCAGCAGCGTCTGCTCGGCCGTGTTCATATTGACAAACGTCGTCGCGATGCCCGTCTTGCCGCTGCGGCCCGTACGTCCGATCTGGTGCACGTAGTCCTCAATCTCCTTGGGCATCGTGTAGTTGATGACGTGCTGGATCTCGTTAAAGTCGAGGCCCTTGGACGCCACGCCCGAGGCCACCATGACGTCCTTCTGCCCAGACTTGAACGCCCGGATGGCGTACTCGCGCTCGTCCTGCGTCTTGGAGCCGTGGATGGCCACCGCCTCGACCCCCTTGAGCAGCAGGTACTCTTGGATGTCGTCGACCTCGTTCTTGTTGTCGCTAAACACAATCACCGGCGGCGCCGTCTTCTGCAGGCACTCGAGCAGGTACACCATCTTGGCCTCCTGCTTGACGTACTCGACCTCCTGGATAATGTCGAGCGACGCCGCGCCCGCCCTTCCGACGTTGATGACGACGGGACGGATGAGCGACTGCTCGGCGAAATCCTGGATCTTTTTCGGCATCGTCGCCGAAAACAGGAGCGTCTGGCGCTGCTGCTTGAAAAAGTTCATAATGTTGCGCACGTCGTCCTCGAAGCCCATGTCAATCATGCGGTCGGCCTCGTCGAGGCAGAGGTACCGGCAGCACTCGAGCGTAAACTTCTTCTTCTCGAGCATGTCCTGCAGCCGCCCGGGCGTGGCGACGACGATGTGGAAGCCCTTGGACATCGTGTGCTGCTGCTCGGCCATGCTGATGCCTCCGATGCACAGCAGCACGCCAATCTGCGGGAAGCCGCCCTGGACGAGCGACTCGGCGATGGCCTTGATCGACTCAAACGTCTGGCGCGCCAGCTCGCGCGAGGGGCAAACAATCATGCCGACGGGGCCCTCGCCGCGGGTAAAGGGCAGCTTGCGCTCCTCCTCGACGGCAAACATGATGATGGGCAGCGAAAAGGCGAGCGTCTTGCCCGAGCCGGTGAAGGCGATGCCGATCATGTCGCGGCCGGCAAACGCCGTGGGCAGGCCCTGCATCTGGATGGGCGAGGGCTTGACAATGTTCTTGGTGGCCAGGTAGTCGATGACGCACTGCGGCACCTTCATGTCGCGGAAGTTGGTGATGACGGGCGGCACGTCGAGGCCGTCGGCGAGGATGTGGTTCTTTTCGCGCAGCTTGGCGTTGTCGTCCTCGGTGCGGCTGCGGATAAAGGCCGGGGCGCGCCAGCTCGTCTTGAGCGGCTCCGAATAGTTGATGCCCTTGGCGAGCTCCATGTCGCTGGCCAGCTTGCGGCGGGCGGCGTGGGCCTCGAGGATCTTGCGCTCCTCTTCGGCGTCCTTTTCTTGCTGCGTCTTTTCCCCCTCGAGCTCGGCCTGCTTTTCGCGCAGCGCCCGCGCCTCGTCGAGGAGCGAGTGCTTGGCGCGCTGCACGCCGAGGTCCTCGTCGTCGTCGTCTTCGTCGTCTTTGACGTTGTCGCCTCGCTTGGCGCCACCGTCCTTGCCGCCTTGCTTTGCTGGACCGCCGCCGGTCTCCGCCGCCAGGCCTAGGCCTGTCCGGGACGCGATGCCGGCGCCGCCGCGGACCTTTGACTGGATCTGCTCGAGCTGCTGCATCCTGCGCTGCTTGAGCGGGATGTAGCGGTTCGATTCGTCGGCGTCATCTTCGTCGTCCGAGTAGGTGTAGCGAGGGGTGTCGTCGTCGGGCTGGATCCTGCGGCGCTTGTAGGCCGAGGGTCCGGCTGTGGGCGGCGCCTGAGGAGGTGCCGATGGTGCCGGTGCGGGAGCCATGGCTGTGGCTGTGGCGGCGAGTCGAGTCGAGGCAGTGCGGGCAGAGGCTGAGTGCGAAAGGCGCAGAGGAACGGTGATTGGAGGTCGTGGTCGTCGAGGCGGTGGTGGAAGAGACGAGCAAAGGAGAGTGGCGAGGCAGGCAAGGAGGACCCTTGGGCTGGGCTGGGCTGAGCTGGGCTGGGCTAGCTGGCCTCGAAGCCCGAGACCCGAGAGCTGGCCCAGCGGTGGCCTCAGCCTCGAGGCCGGCGTGGGCTGCACGAAGACGCCGTCGGGCCGAGTGGGCAGGCCAGCCAGCAGGCGAGCGGCTGAAAGGCAGCCAGAGGCAGGCAGGCAGCTGGGCGGGCAGGGCAGAGAGCAACACCTCGTGCGACCCACGCTCGCCGGCGTCATCCTTCTCATCTTGCTACACCCTCGCCACCCCTCGCCACTCCTCCCACCGCGCATTCAACCCGTCGCTCCCCTCGTCCCTCCTCCTCTCACCTTCCATCCCTCCACCCGCGTGCTCGCATCGACCGCCGTCTCATCAGCGACCGCACTCGGCCATCCCTCCTTCCCCCTGCCATCAGCAAAACCCAAGGAGCTCCCACTCCGCTTCGTCCTATCCCCCGCTCTTTTCCCGCCCGCTCCAGGTGTGACTGGGTGCACACTGGGCCTCTTCCGTATGAACGGGCTGCTGGCGGTGGTAGGTCCCTGATCAAGTCCCGGTCGCTACCGCCATAGCCTCAGCTTTAACCGCAGCCGCGGACGCAACGCAGCACACCGCATACCGTCCACCATGGACGACCCCGACGAGGGCGACTCGTGTCGCATCTGCCGCTGCCCCGCAGAGCCCGACCAGCCCCTCTACCACCCGTGCAAGTGCGCCGGTTCGATCCGCTTCTGCCACCAGGACTGCCTCGTCGAGTGGCTCAAGCACTCGCGCAAAAAGTACTGCGAGCTATGCCACCACTCGTTCGTCTTCCACAAGCGCTACCGCAGCGACATGCCCGCCGACGGCAGGCTCCCTTCCTACCTCTACCTCCGCAGATCTCTCCGCCAGTCGGCCGACCTCGTCCTGCTCGCCGGCAGGGCCCTCCTCGTCGCATTCACCTGGCTCGGCGTGCTCCCTCTCATCAACATCAACGTCTGGCGCTTCCTCTTCTGGTTCGCCGACGTCGCCGCCTGGCTCGCCGTGTCCGAGCTGAGCCCCCTGGGTCCATTTGGACGAGGCGTCGATGCGCCGGCACCCGCTTGGGCCTCGAGCGCAGCCGCCGGCCGCAACTCCACGTCTGCCCCGGTGGGCGCCGGCTCGAGCGCTCCCTCCGCCCACACCGCGAGCAGTGCAGGTCAGGCAGCGGGTCATGGCTTTGCGCAGCTCCTCACCAAGCCCAAGCTCAAGGCCTTTGCCAAGTCGCTCGCCCAAGACTGTTTCGAGGGCCAGATTGTGACGTGCGTCATCGTCGTCGCCTTTGTCGCCATCTTCCTGCTGCGCGAGTGGATCCTGCAGAACGCACCGCAGCAGCTCGACGCCATCGCCCCGCAGGTCGGAGGCGGCCTTGATCAGGGCGGCAGGGTCCCTGGTCCGCCAGATCCGCGCAGAGCGGCCGCGCTGACCGCTCGGGCCCAGCAGCTTGAAAGGGATCTGACAGCAGTCGAGGCCGAGCAGATCGCGGTGGAGCAAATGCCGAACGATACCCTCGAGGCCCGCAGAGCGGCGCAGGCCAGGGCCGGGCACGTATGCCTCCGACTTGCGCAGATTTCCGAGGACGTCGACGAGGTCGTAGACGAACTGAACGCGCTCCTGGGCAGGCCGCGCGACGAGGAGCAGAGGCAGCTGCGAGCCAGGCGAGTGGCACATCTGCGAAGCTATAGCCAGCGGATCGAGCGCATGGACCGGCTCGAAGCCGACATGGACCGGCTCGAAGCCGAGCAACAGGCGTTGGAGCGCATGCCGCTAGGCACCGTCGAGGAGATCGGTCGTGCGCTAGCCGCTCAGGCCGCACTTGGCCTCGAGCTGCAGCGGATCAAGAACGATAACCGCGAGCTGCGGGCCGAGCACGATGCGCGGTTGCTGGCTGCGCGGGCGACATTAGCCCAGAGCACATCGGGAGGGCCCGCATCCGACTCCAACCCTGCTGGCGAAGGTGGCGCTGTTCCCGAGGGCACGGAATCCGGAGAGGAACAGCCAAAGACGGCCGAGGAGCTTCGTCGCATCCGGCTGCGGCGCTTCGAGCCGACCGCGGCGCCTGGGCCCGCAACGCCAGCCTTGACTAGCGTCGATGCCAAGGTAGAGGGGGTGGCCGGACCGGGATTCCGCTTCGACTTTGACACCGCCGAGGTCGAGGACGACAGCTCCAGCGGACGCAAGGCAGCGGCTGCTCCTCTGGCGCCCGAGGAGCGTGCCAGCCATCCTGCTGCGGTCGACGCAGGCGGATCGCCGAGCTGGCCATCGTGGGGCGGCTCGACCGAGTCGTCGACGCCGAGCCGGAACAGCATCATCATGACCGACGGCAACGCCGCATCGCTGTCCGTCCCCAGCTGGCAGGAGGGGTCGAGCTCGCAGGCCAGCCCGCCGGCAGAGGCAGATGTCGACGGCCTAAATGGCTCGGCTTCTCTGGGTCCATCGGCGCCCCGAGCGGACAAAGGCAAGGCTCGTGCGCTCGACGATGATGCCGCCGATGGGCAGGCGGAGGAATCGACTGCCGAGGTGAAAGGAGCAGCGGACGCTGCAGTCTCGGCGGAGGCAGTCGAGGCAGCCCCGGACGGTGCGCCGAATACAGCGTCGGGCTCAAGCCCGACCGGCGCAAAGAGCGGATTGGAGTCAACTGCCGCCTTGGATGCCAAAGCATCGACGATGGAGGCGACACGCAAGGTCGAGCCGGCCGCCGCCGGGACAGGCGAAGGCCAACAGGGCAAAACGGCCGCAACCAAAAGCTCGGAGCCCGATGTCGCAGCAACATCCGACGACGCCGCGGTGGCGCAGGAGGGCGAGGCGGGGAGCACCGAGCATGTCGACACCCAGACCGCCGTCGCCACTCCCGATGCGGCCGTGCCCGGTCCGCAGACCACGCCTGTTGCCGCAGCTGCCGACGCCGCCGCCGAGGGCGACTCTGTCGAGGGGGGCATGCCCGAGACCGTCGCCGCCGACGATGACGACCCAGTCGAGGTGGCGCTGCGCCAGGCTGCCGCCAACGCCGCCGCCAACGCCAACATCGTCGCCATCGCCGATGCCGAGGTCCGACCTCGCGCCAACGCCGAAGTCCAACCCCGTGCCAATGCCAACGCCGGCGCCGACGACGACACCGACGACGACGACAACGACGACGAAGACGACCTGGATGACGCGGCGGACGACGACAACGTGGGCCTCTTTCTCGACGAGGAGATCGACTCGTTCATGGAAGCGCTGGGCATGCGCGGGCCCATGTTTGCGCTGGTGCAGAACCTGCTCCTGATGGTGGTGGTGTGCAACTTTGCCATCCTCTTTTTCGTGGCGGTGCCCTTCTTTGTCGGCAAGGTGCTTGGGCCCGGCACGCGCCTGCTGACGCTCGCCGCGCTGCCCGTCAAGCTGCTGCGGCACGTCACCGACCCCGTGTTTGACGCCATCATCCGACTCGCCAGCCAGCACGTCTGGCCGTGGCTGTCGAGCCTGCGTTCGGCGGCGTCATCGTCGTCGTCGTTGGCGAGTGCGACCGGCGGCAGCCCCGCGTCGACGAGCGCGCTGAGGTTCCTCTGGGGCCACAGTGACAGCGGCAGCACCGCCGCGACGAGCTCAGGACAGGGATGGCTCGGCTCGGTGGTCCAGCGCCTCTGCAGCACTCCCGTCGCTCCGAGCGACGTTGCCGCCATCCTCCACCGCTACCAGGCGGACGTCAAGATCGCGCTGCGTGCCGGCGCCGCGTGGCCGCTCGAGGCTCTCGGCACGCTCTTCTGGGATGCGGTGCAGAAGGTCGACCTCAAGACGATGAGCTCGTCGAGCTCGGACCGTGCGCTCTGCGTGGGGCTCGGCCACGCCTACTGCCTGGCGGCGCTCGGCATCTACAAGCGGGTCGCCAGGCCAGGCGCCTCCTCGCCACTGCAACAGCAGCACCTGCAACAGCAGCACCTGCAACAGCAGCCGGCGGCCGAGGAGCCTGCGTTGCGGCTGATTGTCGACCAGCTGCTGCTGATCCTCAAGGTCGTGGGCTTCCTCTTCGTCGAGCTCGTCTTTTTCCCGCTCGGCTGCGGCCTGCTGCTCGACGTCTGCCTGATGCCCCTCTTTGGCGATCCGACGCCGTCGGGCTGGCTCGAGCGGGCCCGCTTCGCTCCGTTCGCCTTTGGCTTCACCCGCTGGATGGGCGGCACCGTCTACATGTTTCTGTTCGCGCAGTACGTGCACACGACGCGCGGCGTGCTGCGCCCGGGCGTGCTGTGCTGGATCCGCGACCCCAACGACCCGGGCTTCCACCCGATCAAGGACATCCTCAGCAAGCCCACGCTCACCCAGCTGCGCAAGATCGGCGCCTCGGCCGTCATGTACGCCGGCATTCTCGTGGCGTCGGTGGGCTTCAACACCTACTTTCTGCGCTACGCCCTCGGCTCCACGGGCGTCCTGCCGCTGCGCTGGAAGCCGCTCGAGCCGCTGAGCGAGGTGCCGTTTGACCTGCTGGCCGTCCACCTCGTGGTGCCCTGGCTCGGCGCGAAGCTCGACGGCGAGGCGGCCTTCAGCGGCGCGCTGCGGTGGTGGTGGACGTCGGCGGCGCGCGCGATGCGCCTCAGCACCTACCTCGTGGGCGGCGACCATCCCGAGGAGCGGGGACACCACGTGGCCAGGACGTGGACCGCCTGGCTGCTGCAGAGGCGGGCCAACAGGATCGGCGTGGCGGCCATGGCCACTGTGGCGGCCCAGCGTGGCTTCGTGCCGGGCGACGACAAGGGCGACGGTGCGGGCGACGGGCAGCTCTTTGGCCAACCTCCCGTCATCGACCGGCAGGCCGGGGTCGACTTTTACCTCGACGGCGGCTACTGCCGGGTGCCGGGCGACGACAAGGCCGTCACCACCGGCCCGCTCATCATCCCGGTCAAGCCCGACGGCAGCGCGCTCGACGAACGCGGCGCCGAGGCCATCCACCAGCAGGAAGAGGCGGCGCGCGGCAAGACGCCCAAGCCGAGCTACGTGACGCTCTATATGCCGCCGCACTTCCGCGTCAGG